CAGGTTATTGCGCAGGAATCTTCTTCAATTTTTTTAGTACATTTCTTTTGCGTAACTCGTTCTTCACAATACTTTTTTGGAACTTTTTCTTGTGTATGAAATTTTTGGCAATATTTTTTTTTTTGCAATTTATTGTCCAACCCCCTCTCAAAAATAAAATGGTATGTCCCTTACAACAGGCAGAAACAATTTCCAATTTATTTTTGAAATGCAAATTTTTCAAAATGATTGTGTGTTAATTAAGAAACATTAATGCTGTAACGATCAGAACTGTTTGCTTACCTAAAATAATAACATTCCACTGAAATAGAGCCTGCACTGAGATTTTTGTCAAACTTTGCCAATTGCCTGTTATCTTAGAAGAACCTAATATTTAAAATAAAAGTAGGAGGTCTTCATACTTGCCTATGAGCAACGTACAGCACTATATTTATATGCTATAATTCACAACTGTTTAGTGAATTCACCTTTCCAAAGATTGTTTATCCTTCTCCATGTGGCACTAAAGTTTTGCTTTAGTTTTATTTTGTGGATTGGTGATTTGCTGTATTTTAGAGGAAGTAATTTCTGTCATTTTGAAAGACTGGTTATTCCGGCTGGGAATTAATTTTTTTCGATTTTTGGGAAGTCACATTCAACTGGAATTATTGAACTTCATGCAATGGAAATACAGGTGAAAAATCATGCAGAGCAAATAGAAACATCCCGTACCAAACGGCTAAATCTAGAAAATGTCTTGATTACATCTAGTGAAAAGTCTAGCGAAGATCTGGCAGCTTTTTCCAAAGAAAGGTCTTGCATAGATCTGTCCTGTGAGCTAAAATGCTAGACTTTTCTAGACTTTTTGACAGCTAGACGTTTCTATAAAAAAGCTAGACTTATTCTAGACAATCGTTTCACGAGAATTTATCTAGAAAGAAATGTCTTGAGAAAGTCTAAATGTCTAGAATTGTCTAAAAAAAAAAGGCATTTTGGAAACATTTCAATCAATGGGTGTTTATTAAACCGACGACTGACGAACAAACGTACCTCTCGTTACAATGCACGCCATTCACCGTGCTCCTCAAAATGTTTGTTTACGCATGCACCTCTTGCCACTTTGTCACTTTGTCTTGCGTTGTCGATTGGTGTTAGCAGGATAAAATAAACGTATACTACTGGAAATGAATCTTTATTTTTTCTACAAGAGTACCGACTAACATTTATCATGAGTGCATTTGAAGACGCTTTGAACGCTTCACTATTAGGTATGTATTGTAGAATTATAAATGACACGAACATGGCATGCAAAAGTTGTCCGTTTCTTTCCCTATCTATAATATAATAGTAAGATTTAGAACCACGTTTACGGCAATACCGAACGGGAAAATCTGATCTCGCTCCATCTTTTTCTCATTCCAAAAAAGGAATTTTTCTAAGAGAAAAATAGAAAAATATCTCCTGTTCAAATTGAATGTAAACAATTTTACATTATTGCGCAAAGGGCTGCAAGGCAGACCGCGAAAGTTCGATTCTTGCCGTTTGCCATTCGCGCCAGTAAACGCGGATCTTAATCTCTCTAACTGGAGCAGCCGCTGGCCATCGCAACTGTTGTAACGCTATACCCAAGTCTGCTTGTGCGAGAACACCAGAATTTTAACGTTGTGTTTACGTGATAAAATTAAAAGTCTCGTTTTATTTGGTCTTACCAATTTTGGTCCATTCGAGCCGGATACAAATCAGTCGCTCACGATGAGCAATCAAGAATCGTG